TAATGCCCACAGCTTGATGTCCCTAGTCTCCCTCACCATCTTCACCCCATCCTGTAAACACAACTTGGTTGTTGTTTCCACATATTCAGCTACCCATCCGTCTCCCACCCCAGCCCTCAGGCACACCAGGTACATCCTGATGCCTTACTTCCTGATTCTGACTTTTCTCCTTCCCTGGCACCTGGAGACTAAACAGCATATGTGCTCAGAGGTCTCCAGGCTAGAAATAAGCCAGGGCTACCAAAACCATGATTAGAAGAAGATGATATGTGTGGTGTTAGATATTCAAGGCACTTCAGACATAGAAAACTGTGCTGCTAGGCGACTCTCTCACAAGGGAGAATCAATGGATAATGTCAAGCAAACGCCACACATAAACAAATCGTGTAGTGAGAACCAATAAATTTGGTGCTGGCAGGATCCAGAAGCCATGTGGCAAGAGAAAAGATTTCCTCTTGTTTAAATTGTGATGTTGGATCCACATTTGCTTCTATAGGGTTCTGTCTCTGATTTAATGTCCTTCTGACACGACCTTGAAATGCTCTCTCTAGCTCACTCTCTCTAACACACTTTCTCTGTCTTGCTGCTCTCTCTCTCTAGCTCTTACTCACTCTCTCCCCTTCCTCCTCCCCCCAACCCTCTCTCTCAATGCTAAGGTTTAAACATAAGGCTTTCTCTTGGTGGGCAGTCATTTTGCTTTAGGCTATTTTTTCAGATAAAGTCTTGAGCTTTTTGCCTAGGTGGATCCCAGAGAGGGGATTCTCTAACCTATTCCTCCCACTTACCTAGGATGTGAGGCATGTGCCATCATGCCCAGTTTTTTATTGTGAAAATACCATACAGAGGGATTACAATTACATGAGCAAGGTAATGAGTACATATCTTATCAAGCATTTTTGCCTCCTCCTTTATTTCCCATTACCATCCCTACCCCCAATTCTCCTGCCCCCCCCCACCTCCTGCCAAAGTTGTAAAGTTCATTTTCGACATAACGTCTTGTACATCTCATTGTTGCAATGGGTCCACCTGTATCCCTATTTAAACAATTTGGTTTTTCCTTTCCCCTCCACAAATTATACCAACATCAAATACAGTGAAAACAGGGGTTATACCATGAGGGAGGGACATACAAAGCAACAAAGAAATATCTTATAAATACGTTAGAAACAATAACAAGAAAGAAAAAAACATTTGAGTCCTCATCTTGGGGTTCATTTTTCCCTAATATCAACTTATCTGACCATTACTGCTTGAATGGGGGAAAAAATTATATTAAGTGAAGCAAGCCAGGCCTATTTTTTGTTTGTTGAAATGAGACCTGCTAACTTTTTTCCTGGACTGGCCTCAAAACACAATTCATCCAATCTCTGCCTGCTAAGTACCTGGGATTACAGGTATGTACCATCATGTCCCATCTTTTGAAATTCTTATTTTTTATCCAGGTATCTCAGTATTTTTTTTTTTGCACTCAACACCACAAGATATGGAGATAGTCCTGACTAATTTACCCACATGAGAGATCACAGTAGTTATGAGGAACAAATGGGCAGGATATAACCCACATATTGGGTAAAAGCCAAAATAGCATCCGTTCAACATTATATAACCTCCATCAGACCATATGGAGAATATAGACATGCTATAACATTTGCTGTGGGTTCTGGCTAGGCCTACAGATTCAAAATTAAGACACTGGATTCTTTCTAGGTATTCTCTTTAGTAATTTAAGGACAAACAAGTAAACTGATGTATAAAAATAGTAGTATTATCTCAATGATTCTTTAACATACATAAATTGGTTCAAAATGTTCTTGGTTTCAAGTCCCTGGTATCTAGTGCTGAATAAGGCATTATAATACAGTATAGATTTCGGCCATGTAGCTCTCTTTGGAAGCTCATCAAAAATCCTCCGTTAAAGGCAATTACAAATCGGTGTTTCTTAACCTGGCTGACTGACTATGCAGGTTCTGTAGACTCTTCTCAGACTATGCTTTTTCATCTGGAATATGGCTGAACTCTCAAAAATTGCTCACAATTTTCTGATACTTTCATTCTGTGTATAGTCTAGTCATCTTTCTATTTTTGGCCAGTCATTGCTTTCAAAATGACTCAAGGAGTATTTGTGTTTTCTCTTGAAAATATGCTTCAAATGATAATTGCAAGCCTTCAAATAAATTTCCTGCATCACAAAGAAGATGGTATCAAAAGCGCCAGGCAGAGCAGGAGTTAAAGACAGATGCATGGGTTCGGGGGGAAAAGTTAAGCATAGGATAGCTCCCATTCAGTTGAAGCAATGTGAACTGGTGTTTTCTTTTTTTAACAATATCACCACAAGTAAGACAATATGCCAGACGCTTTGCAGGATTGTGAGAGGAAGATGTGGCCTAGCTCCATGCCAGCACATTATCTTGATTGTCCAATTTAATCCTCACAGCCGTGGGGATATATACAGATGAATAAACTGAGACATTAGCAACCCATTCAAGGTCAAAGAACTGATCAATGGGAGAGTGGAGACAGAAACCTTGTTCTGCACGAGTTCAAAGTTCATGTCTTTAACCATTTTTCTAGAGGTCCATACATTTCCAAAGCTAGAGAACTAAGTGATAGAAAAGAATGGTGTTGAAAATGTGCCTCTGCCCTCAAAACAAGTGCAGTGGTGAATAAAGGAGGGAACAAAGGTGTCCCTCCCTCCACTGCAGAGGTGACCGTACAGAAGGAACAGTCCAAGTCTCCTCACTTCCGCAGTCTTTGTGAATGCCCTTGCTCTCATTCGGAGTCTTCATGCGATCTCAAGCCAGCTAGATAACCAAGGCACAAAAGCTTATTCCTGTAGAACCCACCCCACTTTCTTCTTCTGAAGTTGTCTCATCCTGTAAGTCTCCTCTAAACCCTCATCCTCAGTTACTTTATCTTTTCAAGTATTCCCATGGCAACGGGGATGTGTCAGTTCCATAGAGTTTATCATATTATAAAATTATCTCTATGCCATTCCTTCTCCTATTGGACAGCTTTGAGGGGACAGACGATGCTCGTTTGCCAGCATATGTCTGGCAACCACAGATACTTAATAATTATGAGCTTCTCTGGAGCTCTATTATTAGCGTCTTATCGCCAAGGCAAAGCTGATAGAACTAGGAACTTCCAGATTTTAATCTTACTCAGGCTTTGGCCCTCTTGCTCTCCTTGTGCTTTGTATTTCCTCATAAGAATGTACATTTCCAGGGGGCTGGGAAAGTGGCTCAGTGGTAGAGCGCTTGCCTTGCATGCATGAGGCCCTGGGTTCGATTCCTCAGCACCACATAAGCAGAAAAAAAAAGGTGGAAGTGGTGCTGTGGCTCAAGTGGTAGAGTGCTAGACTTGAGCTGAAGAGCTGAGGGACAGCGCCCAGGCCCAGAGTTCAAGCCCCACGACCAGACCAAAAAAAAACAAAAAAGAATGTACATTTCCACTCCTAGATGCCATGCCAGGCCTGATGTGCTGGACCAGGCCTGGCTCAGATTAAGCTGAGAAGATTCAGCATCAATGCAAATGAAATTTAGAGTTAGGAGCTGGCCTCTTACCCCATTTCCCTGAAACCTGTGCAGCATCTGCTAGTCTCCAACAAGAGAAAGACTTGGTGGAGCCAGGTTGGGACTCTGTTCTTTCCTCTAGACAGTACATCCCATCTACAATGGTTCCCTTCTGTCTTTGGGCCACATCAGGGTTACTTTGGAGTGAACTCTAACTATAGATGTGCCTGTGGTTGGGAGACCACTAAAAAGATACTGATGTAATACAGTTTTATTGATTAAAAATACTCTGGCAATATTATAGAAAGTAGATTGTGGGAGGCGATGTAAGGAGGCTGTTGGAGGTCATGGCTGATGTACTTAAGAGGTAGAGGTAGATGTGAAGAGACGTGGGCACAGTGAGGTGGTATCTGGGTGTCAGAGGAGACAGGTTTGGCCATGGGTTGATGGGTTAGTGAGGACAGAGCCCTAGTTTTCTTTCTGCTTTTGACTTGAGTACATAGGGGAATAGGTTTGGGAACATTGTCTGGGTTGGAAAAGCCATAGGGAAGTAGCATGGATAGAGGTGATCTGTACTTGAATATTTTTCTTTGGGGATTCCTCTTTAGCCCGTGAAGACCTGCCAAGGGGGCACTGTACTGTCACATTTCACACATGTCCAACCTTGAAGGTCCATGTTTCTCCCTCCAAATCTTTTGTCTCCTGGCCTAAAATGGCCTAGAACGACTTGTAGCTGAACCAACATAGAAAAGAGACAAAATTCAAACTCAAATGAGAGACTTCTGGCCTTCTCAATACCTCTCATGACTGCAAATCATGCCCAGGTTTAAATACGACATTACTACTAACTTTTCATCTTAGTCTTTAAAAAGACCTGGAAAGTCTAAATCAATGACACCCCACATTTTAACCCACAAGGATGGCAGATTGAGTATTGGAGGTCTACTATTAGAAGAATGGCACCGTAGGAACAAAGGCTTTGCTAAGGCGTATAAAAATGAAAATGGACATGCCATCATTCCTCAAATCATACAATTACATTTTTAACTAATATAAAAACTAAAACGGTCCAACTCGTTGTATGGATATAAGAATTGAATCAGGGAAGCACTAAGGATTAAAACCTCCACCTAGTAAGCATTGTGTACTGTCTCATTAAGCGAAATACTTTCTAAAACAGAAAGGAAGAGTGGATGGACTCTTTTGTGATGAGATGTGTTCTGCAAATGGAAAACATTGTTATTAATATGAATTCATTGTCTAGAGGCTAGATCTAGAATCTGTTTCATTGGAACATAGGCTTGGAAGTCACCTGGATTCTGATTGGGCAGACATGCAAGCCCTCAGGATGGCTCCCAACAGAGGGCGTGTATCAGAAAAACATGTTCTTCCTTCTCCATTCTGAACCCTAGTATCACCTTGAGTGTCCTTGAAGTGCCCCATGCTTATAAGTAACTGTATCACCACTTGCCTTTCTTCTTCCCGCAGAGATTTCCTGGGGACCAAGGAGGCATCTCTGTTGCTGATGGCCATGTTCCTCCTTGCCGTTTTCTACCATGGACAGCAGGTAATGGAACATGTTGTTCTAGCCACCCTTTGCCACTTGGTGCCATAAAACTCCCCTGAAAGGCCTGCCCTGTTCATTGCAATAAATGGCCATTAGCTGCTTGAATCAAGTGATGATTTTTAATGAATCAATTACTTAATGACAACATAAAACTGGAGAAGATGACTTGGTATATAAGTAGTATAGTTGTCATGACCTTTCAACCTATCTCTTTCAAAAAATCCCTTGTCCTAATAAAAGAGCTTTTCGCTTCTGCCTGAAACTGGGGTATTTCCCAATCCCATTGTGTAGATAAAAGTACTAGTAGAAAATATATATGTTGTACTAAAATAAATAGGTTGAGGACCAACTGTGCGAAGGTTCTATCCTAGCTCATCTTCTCCACAGTGTGTGGCCTTTGGCAAGTTGCTTATCTCCTTGAGCCTCAGTTTCCTCAAGTGTAAAATAAAAGACTAATATCTAAGTAAAGCTGGCTTAAGGAATAACTTGAACTTATGGTACATAGCATTAGATTATATGTATATAATATACATGTGTACGTATAAGAACATTGCTATAAAATTTATTTTAGAAAGGACATTGTTACTTATTTGTCCTGATTAATAAAAGCACCTACCCTATGGATTCTGCTTTTGCTCTACGATCCCATTAGTTAATAGGATCTGCAATGGGCAGGACTGAACAAAACCTCATTCCTAGGAGAGTCTTAAATAATACATAAGTGTTGTGTATGAAATGCATTTGACCAGGTTCTTGTTTGTTTGTTTGTTTTTGTTGGTCATAGGGATTGAACTCAGGGCCTGAGCACTGTCCCTGAGCTACTTTGCTCAAGGCTAGCACTCTACCACTTTGAGCCATAGTGCCACTTCTGGATTCCTAGTGATTAATTGGAAACAAGAGTCTCATGGACTTTCTAGCCCAGGCCTCAGATCTCAGCCTCCTGTGTAGCTAGGATTACAGGTGTGAGCTACCAGCACCTGGCTTGTCTAAGCTCTTCAAGAAAGGAAATTAATAGGTGTGTCATGGCAGATTTCACAAAGATGTATTCCTTGCTCTCAAAAAACAATAGTAGGATCTCTCTACACCCCAGCCCATGAACAGTGACACCCCCTCTCCCTTGAGAGATTTTACTTCTACTAGAAACTTGGTCCTGCCAGTCTCACTGCTCTGCTCTAGATTCTAATCCATCTTTCTCTGGTCAGAATACATTTCAAAAAACATAAGCAGAAAAAGAGGAAAACAAGTCAAGAAGACTATTGGCCAGAGCAGAAATAGAAACATATCGCTAGGAAATCTCCATGGAAACAGAGAGGTATCAAACCCTGGGAAACTGGGAATGAAACAGTCAAAATTCCTACAATTGTAGAGATAATAAATATATAAAGCTATTTGTAACAAGAGAAGATGGTTAAAATGCAGGCAAGAAAATAATGGATAATATAAAACCTTGGAAATGGAAAGAAATGGGGAAAAATTAGCTAAGAAGTTCCTACTGTAACCTAGTATTTTCCCTTGATTACCTCACTCAATCCTATCAAAAACCTGTACTAGAGTGATTATTATCATAAATGAAAAAGTAAAGCATTTAGCTAATAGAACTAGAATTCAAATCCAAAGCTCACCTTTTCTCCTTCATCAGACTAAAGGAGAACAATACCACTATGTCCATATCAACTCAACAAACAGCCCAGAGACCCAGGGCATTCCACCCTAAATACGACTTTGACTTTGACGGCTTCTATCTATAGGGAAAATTCTTTAGTCTCATGTGCAAATTACAATCCACTTGGGGGCTATGAAGACAGAATTAGACAAAACAACCCTATGGAACAGCTAGATGCTCACTCCATACAGGATTTTTTTAAGTAATTGTACAAAGGAGTTTCAACTGAACATGTCACTTTATATTCACAGTGTCACCCTTCCATCATTCTCCCCTTATCTCTCCCAACCTCTCCCATCCATCTCCCAAGTTTTAAATTGACAGGTAAGAAATCCCCAGAAGGAGCTGAGAAACAAAGTTCAGAGTGAGGGCCACCATTCCATAATTAGAAGCATGTTTCTGCCTCCTCCACCACCTTCAGGAATTATCTTTCTGCAGTACCCGCCTCAAATGCTGCTCTTCTAGTTTATTGATTTGATGTGTTCTAGTCAGTATTTTTTTCTGAGAGAGGGACTGATTGTTTCAAGATTATGCATAAGGTAAGAGTGTGTGTTTCATGAGGGCCTAGTAATTTGTAGCCTTTGATAATTTTGCTCTTCTTTCTTTCCCAGGGCTTTGAAATCACATAATTGCAAATACAACTGTAGCTGTTACAGGTAGACACTTTGGAATTGGGCAGATGGTCCAAAACTCTACGAGTTAGTAACCTTAAGCAGTCTACCTAACTTTCTGAATCTCAGTTTCCTTGCCTATTAAGTGTATATCCTACTAACAGGCTCTACTTCATTGAGATATTTTGGTATTATATAAGAATATAATACTGATATACTTATTCCAGTTGCTAGCACATGTAAGGGCTCAAAGTTGTTTGCTATTAACATTTTACTCGGAAACTAAGCCAGTGACACAGAGAAAACATTGTTAACCTCTCTTGCTGAAAGATCAAAGCAAAGACTCAAGGCCCCTCGAGGTCATCAGAAAGACACAGGAATCCAAATGCTCTGACTTTGCATCGTATTCTGTCTCTGCCGCCTATGTCTGCCTGGCTGAATTAGAGGCAGCTCTCTGCAGGATTGCATCATTTGGGTGTCTATCTATAGCATCCAGCAGGGCCTGTTCATCCTGGGCACAGCCTGCCCACTCCTGGGCTTGCTCCCTGCCTCTATCAGGTTCTCTTTATGAGTCAGAGGCTCTCTATTTTTAATAAAGGTTGAACAATGCCCATTGATGCCCGGTACGCCACAATGTCCAGTGAGAGCATGTGTAATTATACGTCTCCGGAGTGACGGAGGAAGTTATGTAACTGAATAATTGGGAACTTTCATTTTTGCACATATGTGGAGGGAATCTGACAAGCACTTCCTCCTCATCTGAGGTGGGGAAATGCTCTGACTGCTGGACAAGGGAAGCAAACAGTGGGACACCTCCCTCCCTGGGCCTGCTCACTAGCAGCCCTGGAGGTTTGGGCTTTGCCTCATAGCAGAGGAAGCCACACCTGTGCATGGGATCACAGCTTTAGGAGGTCCATCTCCAGTCACCTACTGGTGAGTTTGCTGGCAGGGACTGTGTGGCTCAGATAAAAGAATGCAATATTCCTGCTCGAATCCTAGAAATGCCACTCAAGAATGGAAAACCTTGAATGGATAACACGCCAGCCCCCAGAGTTGTGATGTAACTTAAGGATGGTGATAGTCAAATATCAGTGGCCTGTGCTGATACTCCTCACTACTCAGGATGCTGAGAAGCCATTCCAGGCAGACAAATCTAAAAGACTCTATCTCCAATTAAACTGTAAAAAGCCAGAAGTAGTGGTATGGCTCAACTGGTAGAGCACCAGCCTTGAGAGAAAAGGCTGAGCAAGAGTGTCAAGCCCTGAGTTAAAGCCCAAGTACCTGTACAAAAATAAATGGTAATAGTTACGTGTTAGAAGTAAAGAAGTAAAGTCACATACATAGAAAGTCTCAGCTTGGAGCCAAAATGCCCTGAGTTCAAAAGTAGCCACTGTCTCTGGGACCTGAGGTAATTAATTGCCTTTCCCTCACTTTGCTTAATACTTCTCCTGTGAGATGGAGATCATTTGGTGTCCTCCTTGTTAGTTGTTGTGTGGTTAACTGAGCTTGATTATGGATGAAGTACTTGATCAACATTTGCTTCCATTATGTGAAGGACCCAGCACAAAATATAGGAAGAATGTGTATCAGCGTCCTTTGAAGTCTTTTCACATATATATAGCTAATGCCATCATGCTGGGATGAAAATCAGGCAAGAGAGTTTTGAGCCAAGGCTGAAGAAACTTTACTTGTAAAACACCATTTCCATGTCTTTCATACTCTCGGCTTTCTCTTTTCGCTCTGTGCCCTTTGGTCACCATTCAGCAATGAGGCAGAGCTGGAGTCTCACAGATTCTTTTCCTTTGCCTGGCATTCAGCATGCAGTAGGTACAGCAGATTGTTTTAAAGGCTGAAGAAAACCTTTTTCTTAGGAGGAAGTTGATAATGTGATACCTGCCTTTGAGAACTTGCTTTGCCAAGAGACTGGGCTGCACTTGTGCTAGACCATCCATCTCCTGGTCGGACCCGTCATGTTTACAGATTCCTGGAGCCACTAGGTTGAACAGTAAATGGTGTCCTAGTCTCATAACTGCAAAACCCTTGGTGAGGTCAACTTTAGCCTTCTTCCCCGCCCTGCCCTCCGACCTCCCGTCATGAGATATATATTATATATACATATCCTAAATTAGACACAGCAGGAGTAATTCTCCTCATTTTTTAGAAAGAAGCCCCACAGGATGAATGACTTCCCAAGGTCACATAACAAGTTGGTGAAGCCATCAAGATCTGCATTCTTTTGCATGGTCTGCTGCTACTATTCCTAATTTTTTTCTGGTATGGAAATTTGCAAGCATAAAAAGACAGGATAAAATACTATCATGAACTCAGATCTCCAGTATCACCAACTACTGTCCAACTTTGTTTCCTTTATATTCTTATTCATTTTGCCTACTATTCTTCTGATTGTTTTGAACCAACATCCTACCTACTATTTCATCTTCTAAATGGTTCAGTAAACACTTCTAAAAGGTAGGGGAAAATCACAATACTAAAACACACTTTTGAAAAGAAAACAGCAATTCATTAGTGTTGTCAAAGCTCTAGGCAGCATTTCTTGGCTTATTACTGTATTTTTGAAGTTTGTGTATCTGGATTGAAATCCAAATAGCATTCATGTATTCCCATTGATTTGATCTATCTCTAAAGTCACTTTTCAATCTTTGGGATCACTGTCCATCTTCCTTTATTAAAACCATCTGACTTCAGTAATATCTCCTAGTCAAGAGTTGTTCATTGCATTCTCTGGGACCATGTAACACATATTCTCCCTTGTTTATCCTGTGTCTGTTGTTATGTCTAGAAGTATGAAAAGATTCAGTTTCAAGTGTTTTCAATAAACTTATTTAGTTGGCTGACTTTATGAATTACAATCCAGAATATATAATGTCTCCGGGACTCTGTTTTGGATGACGTTAACAGCTATTAATAAGATCAGCCCATATTCATTTAATTTATAGACAGTGACATTCTAATCCTATCAAGAAGCCATAATTGCCTAACTGGATGTGTTACAAAAGAGAGTCATTCCTTGCCAGGTATCTGACACCTGGAAGTACAACATTTAAAGCAAGATAAATGTGGAATGTTTCCCCTTTAAGCTCGTTCCCTTAAAGTTTTCCAATAAATTTGTTCCCTAGCATCATTTGGAGATGACAGCTGAGATTTTAAGTGTTGCTGTGAATTTATGCATTTTCCCATATTTCCTATGTTTCCATTCACTGCAGTTGTTATTCTTACCAAGGCTCAATTTGTCACATCTTTGACCACGGGAGCTACTGAAGTGGCTTTGGGACCAGTCGTTTAGAATAGACTACTTGTTGGTGGTATTAAAAACAAAGTTTTAGGTTCTTTACTAATATTCATCTACTTAGTTATTAAAAGGAAATTCAACATGTCGAATGACCTTTCCAAGCCCACTCAGCAACCTGATAAAACCAAACAAGCATTCTTTCATTCAGCCCTCTGCCTCTACAAATTGATGTCTGGAAGCCACAATGTGAAACTGGAAGTTCTCATTGCTAGATTTTCATTATGTCCAGGCCTTGGTTTCAGTGGCAGGTGCTAGTCATTACAAGTCATGACTTCAAAATGACATTCCTATGCTTACTGAAGGCCATAAGCTTTTAAACCTCATCAAATCTGTATCAATGACTCCTTTTTCTCCTCCCCAGAATGCAAATTATGAATGACAACACAACTACCTACTTGCTTTACCATACAATTCATGTATAATAGTGCAATACTAATACCGTAGATTTTTCCACCTATGATACGATTAGTAGGAACAGTTTTAAAATTCTTTTTAAGTTCTCGTATGCTTACAGTTTTCCCCTCTAGAAATGTGTCAGCAAATACTCTGAGGATAAAACAAATTCAAAAGAGTGTTAAAACTGATCACACATGGCTGTGACAAAATATCTGAGAAAGGAGGAAAGATTTCTTCTAGCTGATGGTTTGAGTTCCTGGTAACTCTGTCCCATTCATTGGGCCTGTTATACTACCAGTGCATCATGGGAAGGAGAGGCAAATGGCAGGGCAAACTGCTCACCTATGGTTATCTAAAAACAGAGGGAGCCAGGGTTCTAATACCCCCTTCAAGGGCATGGCTCCTCATGCCTCACTTCCTCTCAATAGTCCCTCATCTCCTAAAGAGATCACCACCTCCTAACAACAGCATAGAATGGGAACCTAAACCCATGAGTCTTTGGGTACCATTTAAGATCCAAACCAGAAGACATATAAATCTATCTGGGAAGCCAGGCGCTGGTGACTCATACCTGTAATCCCAGCTAATCAGGAGGCTGAGATTTGAGGATCACTGTTCAAAGCCAGCCCAGGCAGGAATGTCCATGAGACTAGAAAACCAGAAGTGGTGCTGTGGCTCAATTGGTGGAGAGCTAGCCTTGAGCTGAAGAGCTGAGGGACAGCGCCCAGACCCAGAGTTCAAGCCCCATGACCAACAAAAAGAAAAAAGAAAATCTATCTGTGTGTTCTCTATCGTGATCGCTCGCTTATTTCCTTGTCCTTATGCCATTATAACAATATTTAGGATTTCATAAAATGTCTTGAATTATGACATGTGAAGACCGATCACAAAATCATATTGTGCCTGTGTAAATGACACCAACAATTCCATCCGTTGTGTGGCTAATAGAACTATGAAATAATTTTTAAATAGAAAATTTTGCAAAGACACTGGGTGTGTGTATTCTCTCTGCATGGCAGGACTCATGGGTTCATTTGCTTATTTGCTGGTAGCGAAAGTGAATTTTAAAAATCCATTTCATTTTATACTGAGCTAAAACATTCCCACAATTCTAGAGTCAAGTATATTCAAAATTAATACTCTGTCCTGTTTCCTGCTTTCTTCACTTCCTAGTTAACTACTTGTTATTGTCTATACCTGTAATTTTAAAATGAGGCCCTATGTAAGTGTATTTATGTGGATGTGGAGAAAAAAAGAGAGGCTGTGCTTTCTTAGACAGGTGATAACACACTATACAGACATTCTCCCCCCTTAGAAGCCCACATCTCAGAAAATAAAGGAATACTCCTAATTTCCTTTTATAGCTGCATCATGTTCTTTTGTGTATATGTATTATAGTTTGTTCAGCCAACAAAATGAGCATTGGGATTACTTCCAGCTTTTACTGTTACAAATACTGCTGAATGAATAACCTTGGGCCTGTGTTATTTCATGTTTTTACTATCTATTATTGAGTTCTGAAAATGAGAGACCAAGGAAATAAACTAGCTGAATGTTTTGAACCTTTGAATTCAAGATATCTAACCATGCATTTAACAGTGCAATGTATATTGTTCATTTTGCTTATTAAAGACTTGGAAATAATGGTATCTCCAAAGCTGTGATAAAAATGCTTTGTGAGCGGCTCTGGAAAAGAAAAAGCCCATCTCTAACACAAAGGAAAGTCAGAACTAAAGAGACCTACAGTGTATTGAGTGCCTACATGAACTTTTTGTCTAGAAGTTTCTAAATAACTTCTCTTCGCCCATTGGTAGTGACTAGCCTTCATCTCAAAGTCAGGGAGACAAAAAAACTGAGGCGAAAACAGTTATCTTCCTATTAGGGTTGTGTTTGGATTAAGAGTTTAGTAATATATGTTGTGTAATACACATCTTCTCACGTACTTAGTACCATAAAGTACTATCTAATTCTGTTTCGCTGTTGTAGTTGTGAAGCCAATAAAGATTGATTTGAGCACCACATGATATGTATGTTGGTCAGCCCAGGCTGCTTTACCAAAATACCATTGAGCAGGTGGTTTGAACAACCGGAATTTTCTGCCTCACAGTTCTGCAGTCTGGAAGGGCTGTGATCAAGACCCAGCAGGATTTGGTGCCTAATGAGGGCTCTGCTCCTGGCTGGAAGACCCCACACTCGTGCTATGCCTCACATGGCCTTTTCTCAGCACATGCGCGTGTGTGTATTTGGAGAGAGGAAAAGCAAGGTCCCTTATGTCCCTCCTATTGCAGGAAATCATCTCAGCATAAAGACTCCATTTTTAAGGCCTTCTGTGATCTAATTACTTCCCAAAGGTCCATCTTCAAATTCCATAACATCAGGAATTAGAGCTTCACCCTACAAATTTGGTGAGAGGGAGTCACAAATATTTAGTCCCTAACAGTAAGGACCCAGCATTGAACAGCTGATAGGAGCCCAGACCACAGAACGCCTCCTGTCTATCAGATGACATAATCAAATAATCTCAGAAATGAGAATAAAATCGTAGGTGTAATAATGCCAGGAAGGGCATGAACACACTCCTGTTGCATCCAACTGTTCTCTGATCCCTTGGCTGCTAGCAGCAAATGCTCCCAAAGGCACTAAGATCGGGCTGTACTTTATAAGAAGTGCCAGAGCCTAACTACATCGCAGATATGAGCCTAAAGCCTATGCCCCAAAACTCTACCCACTGCCTCGCTTTCTCTTCCATGAACTGCAGCTGGAGTACACAGCCCGCTTGGACTTCCTTTGGCGAGTACAGGCTAAAGAGGAGATCAACGAGATGAAGGAGCTAAGGGAACACAATGAGAACATGCTCCGAAATATCTTACCCAGTCACGTGGCCCGCCATTTCCTGGAAAAAGATCGAGACAATGAGGTGAGCCCAGGCTCTCTAGCCTTGGAGAGGACAAGGGTGAATAATTGCTCAATAATCTGGGAGAATTCCTCACTTTGTGTGGGGATGTGGGAGTCAAGCCTACGGTCGACTGTGAACTCTACACACAGCCTCTCCTGGCTCCAGAACCTCACTCATTAGATGTAAAATATCTATTACAAGGCTGAATTGCAAGTGCAAACTTTATTTATATGTGTGTTTGTATGTATATATGTATATGTGTACATACATATATGTATATAAGTGTGCACAGCTATATATGTATATATGCATACACAAATGTATATATACCCATACATGTGAGTATATATGTGTATATGTATGCACACATATATACATTACATACATATATATCTCCTACATACCCACAGACACACACACATACTTTATATATTTATATATATATATATATATGTATATATATATGTATATATACACCCCCCAACAATTCCACTTCTGGATATATACCTGAAAGAATTGAAAGGGTCTCAAAGAGGTATTTTCACCAAGGAGCATTATGAGTACCAATAGGGATGAATGTGGCAAAAGTACTCTATTCAAATGTGTAAGCATAGAACAGAAACTTGTTTAGATTGTTTTAAGAAGCAGGGAGAGAGAATGAAAAGAAGTGATAGAGCAAATTTGATTAGAGTAGATTGTGTTTATATATGGAAATATCTCAATGAAACCCCTTTATAGAACTAACACATGCTAATAAAAATGGGAGAAAAAAACTAACAAAAAGGTGGAAGAAACCCAGTAGGATGCTTGGATTGACAAAACATGACATATACATTAATTGAATATTTTTCCAGCCAAAGAAAGAAAGGAAATTCTAACACATGTCACAGTATTACAGACCTTATGCTAAGTGAAATAAGCCCATCCCAAAAAGTACAAATGCACCCCTGTGTGCTCTCTAGGGGTCAAATTCTTAGACAGAAATTAGAAAAATGCTTGCTGGGCACTGGTGCCCCACACTTACAATTCTAACTACTCAGGAAGCTGAGATCTGAGGCTTGCAGTTCAAACCCAGCCTAGGCAGGAAAGTCTCTGAGACTTTTATCTCCAATAAACCACCAGAAAACCAGACATGGCCCTTGCCACTTGAAGCGCTTGCCTTGAGCTGAAGAGCTGAAGGACAGTCTCAGGCCCAGAGTTCAAGCCCCATGACCTAACCCCCTCTAAAAAACAGAGAAATTAGAAGATTGCTTTCCAGGGCCTGGAAGACTGGGGGAGAATGAAATTATTAGAGGATACTGAACTTCAGAGTTAGAAGGCAAAAGAAAGTTCTAGGATAGTGGTGATATTTGCTCCATAATGTGAATGTACTTAACACCATGAGCTATATACACTTAAGATGGTAAATTGTGTGTTATATATATTTTGTCACATTTTAAAATACATATGGCCAGGCACTGATAGCTCACACCTGTGTTCCTAGGTGCTCAGAGATCTGAGGATCACAGTTCAAAGCCAGCCTGTTCAGGAAAGTCTGTGAGACATTTATCTCCAATTAACCACCAAAAAGCCAAAAGTAGAGTTGAGGCTCAAGTGGTAGAGTGCTAACCTTGAACAAAAAAGCTCAAAGACAGTGTCCCCACCTTGAGTTTAAGTCCTAGTAATGGCATCAAAAACAAAATAAAATAAAAGTAAATATCTATAAAATCTATGCATGATATATATATATATATAATATATGTATATACTCCCACATACGTGTATATATATATATGGAGGGTGAGGAGGTGTTGTATATTCTGAGCACATTGCCTAGCATGTAGTAGACTCTCAAATACTGTTGCTTACTGCATTATAACTGAGGGCCACTCATTGTCAGTAACAAGGCAGTTTGACATGAATGACCTTGGGGATCTAGAAAAGAAATCTTCACTGGCCCTTCCAGCTCTCTTTGGCCTGTAGCCACACAACTTTAATCTGTACTTTCAGCTTCTTAAGGCCCTCCTTATAAAGACAGGTTTTCTCTTCCCTCCTCTCAAGGTAACAGTCATTAGATGTAGGGCCTACCAAATCCAGTATGAACTCATCTTAACTAAATTACATCTACATGAAAACACTTCCACATAAGATCATGCTCTGATGTTCCTGATGGGCATGAATTTTAATAAAACACTATTGACCCACTACAAGAGTAATGTCAAGTGATGGGGGCAGAAATTGTGGCAGGGCCTGTTAATCAAGTCTTACGGCAGTAAGCAGGCTTGGGAATACATTTAAGAGGAATCAGAGCACTGAGAACATTTCAAGCATAGCCTAATTAATTAGCTGCTGGTAGAGCAGCTAATGAATAGGAATAATGAAGAGGAAGTTCACAACACCAGAAGTCAGTTACAGACCCTAAAATAGCCCAGACAAGCCTCTGGTGAGTTGTAGGATGGTGGCCATGAAAATAGAAAGAAAGAGGTAAGCTCCAGGTTCCCATAGGCACTAGTAGAGCATGCAGTAGAGCACTCAATAATGTGGTGAGTGCTAGGACACAGGCATCACAGACACCAGGCCTGCAAGCCTCTCTCTTTTCCCCTCTGAAGGCCCTTCAAGGGAGGGCAGGTGACGTGGTGGGAGAAGCCCAAGCTACTGAGCCAACGACGTGTGAGTTCCCCATCTCTCCCCTTTACCAGCTGTGTGACCTGAGGCATGTTAGTTAACTTCCCTAAGCCTCAGTTTCCTCATCTGGAAAATGGCTCTAAATGAATCCGTTCTTTTAGCATCCAGAGGTTAATCAGGCAAGGAGGTGGAGTATTTCAGACTCGCCTCCAACTAGTCAAAGATAGGAGTGCAAGGTGCAGGACATCTGCTGATTCGGAGTGAAAATGACCTTGCCATTTGAGGGGGCGTATCTAGCCACCAACTGACAAGCCTTGAAGGATATTGTGAGACTTAGAACTATATTCGACATGAAATAAGGAGATACGAATTATGATCCCCAATTCACAGAATAGGAAACTGAGGCTGGGACCCGGAAAAGAAGAAGTTGCTGAAGGTCACAAAGCCAGTGAGTCAGCTGGCATTCAAAGCTAGACATGTGTGCCTCCATGGCCACAGGTGTTCTCCACTCTCCCTCACGCTACGTACGTGCAAAGAAGGGGAGCAGTGATCCCCCCGATCCAGTGGGTGCTGTGCCCCTAAGTAAATCCTCAGTGTCACACAGCTGGCTCTGGTATCACTGCAGAAGCACACCAGCCATAGTAGCTGTCCCACACAGTGGGGAGTTCCACCTCTGTACTAAGTCATTTATTGTCTACAGCAGGTTACCAGACCTCTCTGTCCATTTCCTCATCTGATTAGTGGTAGACACAATACTGACCTTATTGAGTTCCTGTGAAAGCTACACTGGGGAAGAACAGCACTTCTTGTGTCCAGAGAAACCCAGTGCCAAGGAGCTTCAATACAGAAAAGCTATAGGTATGCTCCAAAGCAAGCACAGCTCTGGTTCTGCTTCCTCCTGCCGCGTCTGTAACTGTGTACAAGGGATGAGCCTTCTGCACTCCGTGGTCCTCGCCAACAGCACAAGCCTCCCAGCTCACCTGATCCACACCCACATGAGCCTGTGTACCTAAAGCCCTTTCATGGAGCTTGGCAACTGTGGAGAGTACACTGCTTGTTAGCTACTATAATCTTTAAGGAATGTGAGCTATTATTGTTTTTTTCTGCTCCTTCCTAATCAGAGTCCCGCCTGCTCTCATCCATTCATTCAGCACGTATTCATCAAGGACAATTATGTGCTTGTGTCATTCTAGAGAATTGAATTTAAACAAAGAAGAGATTAGGAAACGTCTTTGTGATCATGAAGCAGTGATTGTCATAAGAAGATAGATGGCAAAACAAATATACAAAATAGTGCCAGTTGTGATAATTTATAGGATGACAAGAACAAAAAGCTGAACGATGGAACCTTAGCAACTTACTCTGTTAGTGCTATTAGGACAAAATAACTAAGACTGGCTTATTTAGAAAGCAGAGAATATGGTTTTCCTCATACTTCAGAAGGCTGAGGAGTTCAAGGTCAAGTTACCAGCTGTCCTGGTATCTGGTGAGATCAAATCTCTGCTTCCAAGATGTTCAGTGCTGAATTCTCACTTGGTAGAAGAGAAGAAAAGGAAGACATTGGCTCATCACCTCCCTAAAGGTTCTAATCTTATTTATGAGAGTTCTTGTGGCTTCTTCATCTAAAGATGTCATATTAAGTTATGATTAAGTTTCAGCATATGAATCTTGGGAGGCACATTCCAACCACAACAGACACAAGAAAGGTGTTCTGGAGATACTATTATATAAGCAGAGACTTGAATGAAATTAATTATATCTGTAAAGCTAACAGATCTCAGATATAGTTTTTTCCCTTGCAGAGAAGGTTATAAGAAGCAGAGGACTTTGAATCAAACAGGTCTGTACCAATAAAAGATCAGATTGCATTTCTGTGAGCAAAGAGGAGACCAAAATGCTCACATTGACATGCGAAGTATATGGAGGGTGGATGCAAATGTTCAAAATCCTCTATGAAGTCCACACTGTCATTTTTCCATCAAGAAAAATGGCAATGACACAATTATAGCCTTTCTATATTCACCCATCCCTCCCTAGTTTACAATGTGTTTTTAGCTTCTTTAAGCCCGAAATAGCAAGAGACAGATGGCACTCTCAAAGTAGTTAATTAGAGTGAATCAAATAAAGAAACCATCTCCGGAGGGATAGGTGGGTGGGCTGGAGATCTTCCATCTGAGCTTCCATCCCCTTCATCCTCTTCTCCCTGCTTTGCCCAGAATGAGGGGAGGGTTGATCTTCCTTGACTACTTCAGTGACCTTCTCTGTCCTCCAGCACCCAGTAGATGGTCATCAAGGGTGATAGACAGGAGATCCATGAGAGGAGGAGATCTTCTATAGCTGAGTGTGGTGGGCCACACCTGCAATCCTAGCTATTTGAGAGGCTGAGTTTGGGAGGATGGTGATGGTTGTGAACATTAGGAAGTCCAGGTATGTAAGCCAGTGGAAAGAAAAACAATTGAAAAACAAGGTGTCATCATATCAGCTGTCTATACTGTGTCCATCTGGAGGTTGAGCTCACAGAGGAATTGTAGGAAATGTTTCAAGAGCATACCTCACCATTCCTTGGCTCAAAGGAGCAAAGTAGCTGGGTGCTATACAACATTTCTAGTCACTAATGGCTGCACTTGAGGGGCACTGATTTCCTGGTACCTCAGGATGCTGCTCATTTGGGCAGAGTACCCTCTACTGTCCAGGGTAAAACTCTATGTGAAGAAGCAAAAGTTGTAACAACTGAATCTTGGGCAGGAGAGGGTAGCAATCAGGGAGCCTGCAGCCTCTGTTACAGAAGTGGGTGTGTATTTCTGGAGCCCAAGATCCAACTTGAGGAATTAGAGACAATAGAATTCTATGCTTCCATCAAAAAGAATGACATCGCCCCATTCGTAAGGAAATGGAAAGACTTGGAAAAAATCATATGAAGTGAAGTAAGCCAGACCCAAAGAAACATAGGTTCCATTATTTCCCTCATTTGTAATAATTAGTATATGTCTAGGGTAGTCCCAGCAGAGAGTCATAATAGCTCAATAATTATGTAAATATGACTATATAAAATGATGCTAATCGAAATGAACTCAAGATATGGAAACAAGAGGTCTTTTGTTGTTGTTGTTGACCTTGTCATCAATGTACTGTTTCAAGTTCTTTCGTTCTTTTTATTTATTTATTTTTCCCTTTGGTTTATCCCCTGTAGTCACTGTTATTCTGCTACCATGCATCTTGTATATATGTTTATCTGATTTGGGGGAGGGAAGGGGAATAACAAAATGCTGAAACAAGGACACAGGATGACCCATTGCAACAATGATACTCACAAGACACCATGTTGGAAATGAACTTTACAACTTCAGGGTAGGGAGGTTGGGGAAGAATAGAGGGGGAAGGTAGTGGTAGAAAAATGAAGGATGGGGTAACAATGCTCGACAAGAAATGTACTTATAACCTTACTTATGTAGCTGTAACCCCTCTGTACAGCATCTTTACAACAAAATAAAATATTTTTTTAAAAAGGCAGGTAGAAGTGAGGCCATAGATACAATGCCATACTGTGGCATTGCACTTCATCCTGCAAGGGTGCCCCATTGCAGGATTTTTAGAATGAAAGGTACCTAGTTACAATTTTTCATGCCTTTGAAAAAGTAAGTCTGTTTGCCATATAGATTATGCCTTTAACTAAGACACGGCTGGAAGTCGGAGGCTCTCATATCAGTAGTCAAGGAAGAAACTGGGAAGGGCCAGGTTTTAAAAAAATAATAGAAATTACTTAATGTTTAGGAGACTAAAACAAACCCAGAAGAACTTGATAACGTATTGAAGTTGGGCCTGATGAAGAGCCAAAGGTGATTCTGAGGTTGTGTAAGTTAGATAATTTGCCTTAGAGAACTAAAGAGCAGACACAGGTCAGCTAGAGAGACGATGCAGTAGGTTTGTTTTATTTTATTTTATTTTTTATTTTAAACATGATGTACAGAGGGGTTACAGTTACATGAGTAAGGAAATGAGTACATTTCTTGTCGAGCATTATTACTCCCCTCCTTTGTTTTTCTCCAGTCCCTTCTGAGGATTGTGTGAGAATAGCCCAGCATGAGGCATGGAAGCTCAAACCCCAAAGGAAACTGACCTGAAGATATAAATTTAGAAACTGCCATACATGGTGGGTGAGAAGGCTGAGATGTACCAGATATTTGTATAAAATATTCAGAGGGTCAAGGTCAAAACCATAGCAATCATCAACATTAAACATGGAAGAAAAGCAATAAACACCCCTGGAGGGAGAAGGCATAAGAAAATAAAGTAACTTGCTCAAGCATAGTACATCAAGAGAATCAAGACCCTGAGTAAACAATATGCCAAGAGTCAAGGGTGGCCAGTTAAATAATGCACTGGCATGTGTGCTTTGGTTTTATAGACTGATCTCATCTCTATTTGTTCATCCCAGCCTGAGATGGGAATGATAAAGGTAGCAGAGAAAGCTAGCGTGATAAGGTAGGAAACGAGGAGGAAGAGGATGGTTGATAGACACAAGTGTCTATAGATTTAGGACATGTGTCTCTTTCTCTTAAAAGAGACATTTGGAGGAGGAGGAGGAGAGATTCTTGGACAAGAGAAAGGAAAAAGAAAGAAAGAAAAGGATTGCCGAGGGAGGACATTGCTAAAGGGGGTCAAGCGCGCGATTAGAAGCAGACTTTCTGCATAAGGGAGAACACAGGATGTAGAGTTGGAGGGAAAAGGATGAAAATGCATGCGACTGTAGGCATGCGCATGGGACATGTGCTTAGAGCAGAGGTGAGGCACCCCCCAGAGCAACAGTGTTCTCAGTGATGCGGAGTAAGGTCATCTGCCCAGAGGGAAAAAGTGGAGGGACAAATTAAGAAGAGTGGTAAAGACTGGCATCAGCCATTGGAAACAGAAAAAGGAGGTGACGGAGGACAAATGAGTTAGAATTCAGAAGTCAGCGTCAGATGAGATGGAACCATCTACCTTTGGTGGTCCCAACCCATAGAAATGCCATGATCACAGTGCAATGAATCGAATAGGTAAGCCCCTTCAAAACCCCTGTGTTGAAATCCTCACCCTTCACATGGCAGTATTAGAAGGCACAGCCTTTGGAAGGTGGTGGTGCCACAAGGGCCAAGCCCTCATGACTAGGTATGTTAGTTAGCTTTTTAACCACTGGGACAAACACTGGAGAGAAATGAGTTTAAAGGAGCATTTGTCTGGGTTCATGATTTCAGAGATTTGAGCCCATTGCGTCAGGACCTGTGGTGAGGAGGTCGAGCTCCCTGGCGGAAGAATGGGGTAGAGCAGAGCCGCTCACATCATGGCGGCCAGGAAATAGAAAGAAGGGAAAGAGCTGGAGGCCAAGGAAATCTTTGCAAGATATACCCTCAATAATCTCCCTCCTCCTCCCACTAGGCCACATCCTACTTTCTGCTATCTCTCCATAGTAGAAACCCATCAGATTAATTCCCTGATGAAAAAGTGGAGGAGTAAGTCTGTGGCTCAGTTATCTCCCAATCATTGAATCCAACATCAGGGACCCAGTCTTCAACACATTTGCCTTTTGTGGAACACTTCAGAGCAAGCTGCAAAAATGGGACCAGGGCCTTTCTAAAAGAGACCCTGCAGAGCAGCCTTGCCCATCCCCTATGTGGGGAGACAGCTACAAGGTGTCATCGATGAGCAAAAAAGTAGTTTTTTACCAGACACTGAATCTGCCAGTGCTTTGGTATTAGGTTTCCCAGCGTCTAGGAATGTGAAAAATAATTGTTTATAACAATCCAGTCTAAGGCATGTCCTTACAGCACCCTGAACATGCTAAGACATAGAGTGTTGACCTGATGGTGTCTGAGTCCCATTTTCACCCTCTCACTGGACACCTGTGCATGTGTGCCCAGGTACACAAACGTACGTCTGCTAGTACATACATGTGGGCAAGAAGCATCATGGCAGAACCTAACCACTGATGTCATTCTGGCTCACTCTTTTGTCTCTCTGTCCAGGAGCTGTATTCTCAATCCTATGATGCAGTCGGAGTGATGTTTGCCTCAATTCCAGGATTTGCAGACTTTTACTCTCAGACTGAAATGAATAACCAGGGTGTGGAATGCCTGCGCTTGCTGAATGAGATCATTGCTGACTTTGACGAGGTAAATCGAAGCCTCTCAAATTTGCAATTCCAAATGTGCATCATTGTTGGCACAGCATCATATTGTTTACTGTGAGGGTGACCTTTGCTTTTTACACTTACAGAATCCTTGGCTGCATTATAAATGCAGGCATATATTATTGATTAATTTATTGCAATTGCAGTTATCACCTGAGCTAATTGACATTTTGATGAATGTGCCCATTGTAGAATGACTAAATCAAACTGGTTAATATACTCGTCATTTCACATTCTTACCATTTTTATGATGAAAAATATCTAAATTCTAGTCTCATAGCAATTGTCAAGTACGTAATACATTATTATACACTCTAGTTACCAGGTTGCACAATAGATCTACAGAACTTATTCCTCCCATCTGACCAAAATATGAACAAGAAAGGGGCTTCTTACCAGACATCTAGTTACAGTATACCCTCTGACAAAGACCTCCAGATGTACTGCGCACTCACTCCTTAGCCCCTGACAGGACCATTCTACTCTCTGCTTCTGAATTAGATAGTCTTTAGGCTCTGCTCATAAATAAGACTCTATATTTGTCACTTTATGTACCTGGTCTATTTACCTTAATATTATATTCTCCAGGTCTACCCGTGTTTTTTCTCTTTTTTCCAATTATGGAATTCTTCTCATTTTGTGGCTAAGTTTGTACATGTACGCTATTTGTATATCTTGAACCAATGTGAAGCTACTCCAGTCCTCACTGAGATTCTATGCAAGGTATACAGGTCCTCAGATACCATGGGTCAAGTATGGCCCTTCAGCTGTTCAAGGACCTGGGCTGTGAAAGATCTTGAGTGGCTTCATCTGTCCATATTCTTCCCTCTGCCACGTCACAACTAGATCTTGCCCACTTTCTGCTAACTAAAGGCTGGCTCTCCCAGGAGAAAAGCTCTTTTGTCAGTGTGGCTGCAACAGTGAGCAGGGGAGACAAATGGAGGGGAGACAGGTCAGAGTGAGCCTTGCAGATGGACTCTCCATGGAACTGGATATTATGAGAGGACTCTGCATAAAACAAGGACTTGGTCTGACTCACTTGTCAGTGGCATTGTTCTAGCTACCGTGCTAGGAGCAGAGGTAGGAGCATGCCCAGCCTGAAAGCTGATAATGGCTCAGGCTAGGGTGCCAGAGGGAAGTGCGCAAGCAGCAAGAGTCTAAATGCATGAAGAAAAGAAAGCCAGAGTTACTTGTTGAACTGGTTGGAATATTTGTGATTGCTTTCTGAAGCTAATCAAGTAGCCTTATTTCAAAGATGCACAGCAACACACTTTTTCAAGGGTATCCATCATACCCATCCGGGCTTGTGGCAAACGCATGTTGACTCAATGCCTGACCATAGAAAAAAGTAGCAGGTCACGGATGCCTTAGGGTTAGCTGGGTTGTTTGGTTGGGTTTCTTTTTTTTTGCATGATGAGCCAGGGGCCTATTTTCCTGGAGAAATAAACACCAGGACTAACTATTTTGCTGGATCTATTTCAGCTGCTTGGAGAAGACCGGTTTCAAGACATTGAGAAGATCAAGACCATTGGCAGCACCTACATGGCCGTGTCAGGCCTGTCCCCTGAAAAGCAGGTACAAGTCTCTTGCACTCAGCCACACCTATGCAGGGACTCTTCTGTTGTCACGTGGCTAGAGATGGCAAAGGCCCCATCACAAGGAGACCTGGAGGCAGTGAAGAGCTCGGCAGACCTGGGCTGTGACATCAGGGGATGTAGTGTTGTCCCCAGGAGGAGAAGGCTTCTGCGTGAACTAATACTGCTTTGTTGAGAAGCTTCTGGGCTGCTTACTGTACTTCATTACTCACAAAGATCTGAGCAAAGAAATATACTCCCATGAAGATTTAGTTGTAGAGATTGCTAAGCCCCTACGAGGTTTTGCTCTGTGTCTTTCTTTTCTCAGTCATTTTATGAGTCCTGTTTTTTATTTTCTTTTTTTAACAATCTTTAAGTAGTTGTCTGAAGGGGTTTTCATTTTAATTGGTTCATCAGGACACTGCATCGTGATCAATGTTACCCGCCCCATCCATCTCCCCTTATCTGTCCACCCATCCCCTCAAGTTACCAGGTATGTTTTCACTTAGGTCCCGTGCATATCATGACTGCATTTGTCCATCCTTCTGGACTTTGTTCATCTCCCACAATCCTCTTGACAAAACACTTCCCCATTTTATAGATTTAGAAACAGGTTGGTTCAGAGGGGTACAAAGGTTTCTCTTGGGAGTTCCATGAGCAGATGTATACATGAAACATCCCTTGAATGAACACTATGAGTACTTCAAAAGAAATCAGACACAGCTCCTAGGCTGGAAAAACATACGTGTGCAAGTAGAAGATCACACGAATATATACACATATATGCCCACAGACACACATACACACACACCACCACCACCACCACACCAATGAGTGTACACAGGAATTCACAATGCATCAACCTCAGTAGGTAAGAACAGCTGTGGAAGAAGGATGTGAGCCCCACACACTACCCTCTGAAGTAAATCTCCTGTGTCCCCAGAATCTGGGGTACTGATAGCTTTGGTTTACAGAGGCTCAAGCCTCGGATGTTTTCTTCTAAAGGAAGTATATGAGGGATTAGGATGGAAAGCTCTGGGTGCAGACATGCCAATATTGGTCATGAAGGATTGACCATGTCTCTCTCATGGCTGCAGCAATGTGAAGACAAATGGGAACATTTGTGTGCCCTGGCTGATTTCTCTCTCGCCCTCACTGAAAGCATACAGGAGATCAACAAGCATTCATTTAACAACTTTGAACTTCGGATTGGTAAGTAGGGGCTGGAAAAGAAACTCCACAGAGCGATTGCCTCTGCTTCTGCACCCCTCCCATGTCTTGGGCATCAAACCAGGGAAGATTTTTCAGCTCAGGCCTTGCTGAGCTTCTGCTCACTCATGACACTAGAAGCAAGAACAGAAGTCTGGCGTGAGTACACAAATACAAAGCAAACCCTAGACTGTGGCTAGCATCTCTCCCAAGATCCTTGTCTAGTATCCTGTGTACCCATGCAGAGGTCACTGACAACCCAAGAATTATGTAATTCTGACTTCCATGATCATCATCGCTGGTAAGTCAATGTATTATTCTTAGGTTACTCTGGATAATGACCTCAGGCCAAAGGGGGATTCCATTCCTGAGGATGTCAGGTATAGCTAGTGACAAGCAGAGAGCCTTACAGAACATTTTTTGTCCATTCAGCTCACCATATTCCACCTTAGAGATGCTTTGTGCAAAGTAGCAACACAGGAATCATGGCAATTTAACATCTCTTGTGATTTGCATAATTTCCCAATTCTGTTTCTGTCTCTGCTGAGTTTCTTAGAGTCTCAGAAAACCTAATCTGAAACCTTCTGCTCAAGTCCACATTTTTTTTGTAGATAAGTAAATTCAGGCCCAGAAAAGGAAAATAACTATCCAAATAACACACAGCCAAAGAGTCATGTCCGTAGCAGCTCCCAGATTCCTGGCTCAGAGATGAATAACATTCTGGCTGCCAAGAAGCATTTAAAATAACATTGCTGCTGTCTCTATACTATAGACGTCCTCTGGCTGACTTGCGATTTAATTTCAACAGGTTCTCCTTTAGCGCATTTTAAGAAAAATGTCAGTATATACTAATAGCTGACTTGTTAGAGCTGATGAATGCCATCTGCTTTTGCTCTTTGGGATAAAACAAATTATAGATCATGATTTTGATCTATGGATGAGGTTTTCCAGGCTTGTTTCTATGTCTTCTTCAACCTTATATATTCATTCTCCAACAATGGACTACATTATTGAGCCAGGAGTAAAAAGAGACCTTTAATCCTGAAGAGAGAGACATTCTAAGTCCATTCCAAAGATATTGGGGTCCAGTCTAACTTTGGCATGATACTCAATGACCAGAATTGTTTCACTGCTCTCAGAGCTCAGAAAATATATTTCTCAACTAGCTAGAACATGTCAATCTGTGTCACATGTCTGCTCTAACCAGCTCTATGGCTTTGTGTGAGACATTTAAATTCTCTGGGCTTCAATGTCCTTCTGTGTAGATTGGGAGGTTACTTATCACCTCCTCTGCCCTCCTACCTTATGAGAATCAAATGGGACAACGGTTCTCAAAGTGTATCCACCATTGTGATTCCCACACCTTCTACTGAATGTATGTGTGTGCGGGCACATGTGGGCACGTGCCTGCAGGGCTAATCCTATGGCTTTACTCAAATTTCTGTTCAAAAGCCTTTCTCAACTTCCTTCTTTCCAAATGCACTCCACAGCTTTCTCTGTCCTTATACCTTTGTTGATTTTGCATTTACTTGCTGGTACTAGATTATCTATTTTTATTGGTTTTTTCCCTTACCAGTACAAAGCAAGCCCTATGAGTGCCAGCTTATATCTCTCTACCTTCCCACCATATCCCACACAGAGCAGGTGCCCAGTAAGTGTTTATAAAATGATTTTTAAAAATCTAAATCCATTAGAGGAGACAGATATGCTTGCTGACACATTCAGTGAAAGGCTCTTGTGTCTAGAAGGGAGGTTTCTGTTTCTTAAAGAGAAGACATTGAAACTATGTTTGAAAGCATTCACTAGCCAGCTGGCCAATGACAGATCACTGCTGGATCACGTCTGTAATCCTAGCTATGTGGAAGGATGAGATCAGGAGGATCATGGTTTGAGTCTCCTTCTCAACCAAACCCTACATGTCATGGCATGTACCTGTGATCTCAGCTATGTAAATGGGTCCAAACCAGATTGCACAGAAAATTCCTTGAGACTCCATCTCAATAAAATAAGTTGGACATGGTGGCATGCCCCCCGTACATCAGAGGGTATAAAATAGGCATACCATAGTCCATGCACCACTCCCTAGCAAAAACTGAGATCCTATCTCAAGACAATGTGTGCAAAAAGAGCTAGACATGGGACTCAATGGCTGAGCTCCTGACTAACAAGCACGAAGCCCTGAGTTTAAACTCCAGTGTTGAAAATAAAGTGGGTTTGCCAAAATCTATGGGCTTGGGAGAAATCAGAGCCCATGTGGGAACAAAGGCAGGACTAAGGAGCCCAGTGGATGTGGTGGCAAGTAAGGTAAGTAACGGAGAAGTACGGCACTATGCAGGGAAAGGAAGAGGTACCTATGGTAAGAGTGGCAAGCTAGGCAAAAATCAGATTGGAAACTTTCTGGAAGTTTCCAGGAAGCACTGTCCTTGAGCCCTGGAGGGCTGGAACTAGATCAGAGGGTACCTCCCAGAAAGACCTGGGCCCTCTTGCAGCAGTGGGAATCGCAGGCTTCACATGGACAAGGGGGACATTCAGAACCCTCACCATGGACTGAGGGACTGCTGCTGAAGACATGGATAGAAATACAAAAGGATGATGTCTGCCCAAGCTGTCCAAGCACTGGGTCAGCAGAAGCAGCAGATCCTGGTCAGGGCTTTACTCCCTACGTGGACTGGGATAAGCCAATGTGAATATGGAAATAATGCTGATGGTATTGTGTCGAGCTCCCTCTGGTTATTAGGCACTATGCCAATCATTATCTACTTCATGTAAGAAAGGTGAGGTCTATGGGCTGGGAAGGTGGCTCAGTGGTAGAGTGCTTGCCTTGCATGTATGAGGTTCTGGGATCGATTCCTCAGCATCACATAAGAAGAAAAAGCTGGAAGTGGCGCTGTGGCTCAAGTGGTAGAGCACTAGCCTTGAGCTAAGAGCTGAGGGACAGCGCCCAGGTCCAGTGTTCAAGCCCACAACTGAAAAAAAAAAGAAAAAGAAAAGGAGAGATGTAAATAGCTTAAGTAACTGGCTCGGGACACACATCAAATAAGTTAAGGGAAGCAAAATCCAAGTCACCTAGAAAGTTCACACACATGAACTCCTCGTAGATCAAGACACCAGGTTAACCCTCTCACCTCCCTGATCTCTTCCTCCTCTGTTCACTTATAGGAATCAGTCACGGCTCAGTGGTAGCTGGTGTGATTGGCGCTAAGAAGCCACAGTACGACATTTGGGGTAAAACCGTAAACCTGGCGAGCCGAATGGACAGCACAGGAGTGAGCGGCCGGATCCAAGTCCCAGAGGAGACGTACCTGATCCTGAAAGATCAAGGCTTTGCCTTTGACTACCGAGGGGAGATCTACGTGAAGGGTATCAGTGAGCAGGAAGGGAAAATCAAAACGTACTTTCTCCTGGGAAGAGTCCAACCCAACCCATTCATCTTGCCCCCAAGAAGACTGCCTGGGCAGTACTCCCTGGCTGCCGTTGTCCTGGGGCTTGTCCAGTCCCTCAATAGGCAAAGGCAGAAGCAGCTACTCAATGAGAACAACAACACAGGCATCATCAAGGGCCATTACAACCGACGGACTTTGTTGACCCCAAGTGGACCAGAGCCTGGACCCCAACCTGAAAACTCCGACAAATCTGATTTGCCATAAAAGCATTTTCGTTGTGTTTCTTTTTTTTAATTTCTTTTATATATAAAATAAATATACTAATAAAAAGGTTTAATTTTTTTTAGAACAAGAATGGTTTCATTGTCTTTGAATACTCTTTTTGATTGCAAACATTAATCCCCTCTCTTTTGCTAACTTGTTATTATCTTTAAGTACTTGTACTAAGGAAGGGTCTTTATACCAGAACAGTTTGTGCATCTTAGTCAGTGTCACCCCGTCAGCATTCTCACCTCCCTTTCCTTTCCTTCATTTTGTGGTATATGCAGTGAATTCTTGAATGCTTTCTTCCCCTGCCCGCCCCCTTCACTTGTCTACCCTTCTCCCCTTGGTGCTATCCTTTTGATGCACACATTTCCTGGGGTTGATTTTGCTGGGCTTTTTACCTGGCCTTTCCAAAAAAATTATACTATTTAAGCTCTCCATACAGTCTACTATACTTCAGTGAATTCATTTATAACCACTTGCATACCCAGCACATATAGGTTTATATGTACATTCTATCTACCACAAATGAGGGAAACTAGGCAACCTTTGTTTCTCTGGGTCTGGCTTACTTCACTTAATACAATTTTTTCTGAGTCATTCTATTTCCTTAGAAATTATCCAATATCATACTTTCTAATGAATTAGTAAAATTCCATGTGTGTGAGTGAGTGTGTGCGTGTGTGTGTGAGCGCACACACACATATGTATTTAACATGTTTTTGATCCATTCATCTTCTGAGGGCATCTAGGCTAATCATCTTGGCTATGGTTAATAGTGATGCAAGGAATATGGTTGTGCTGGTGGCTTTACTGCAACCATGTTTGTGTTCTATTAGATAAATGACCAGAAGTAGTATTGCTGGGTCATGGGATAGCTCTATGTTTAGTTTTATTTGAGAAACTACCATGCTGCTTTCCAGAGTGATTGAACAAGATTACATTCCCACCAACAGTGTATCAGAGTTTCCTTTTAGCCACATCCTTGCCAGCATTTGTTATTGTTTACTTTCTTAAAGATGGCCATTCTAACTGGGGTGAGGTTGAATGTCAGTGTTGTTTTGATTTGCATTTCCTTTATGGCTAGATATGCTGAGCATTTCTTCATGTGTCTATTAGCCATTGATCCCCACTTATATCCAGAATATGTTGGGAATTACAGATAATTATGACCTAGTTTCTGATTTTGAGAGATTCATAACTGAATTAAAATAAGAAACATAAACAAAGACAATAAAATCAGACACTAAAGAACAGCTGTCATTTTTAACACTTTTCTTGTATCAGGCCAAATGACAAATTCTTTACATTGTGACCTCTTGAAATTTTCTTTTTTTTTAATTAAGTTTTTATTGTGCAAATACTATGCAAAGGGGTTACAGTTACATGAGCAAGGTAATGAGTACATTTCCTATTGAGCATTGTTGCCTCGTCCTTTGTTTTCCCCCTACCATCCCTTCCCTCCCACCTCCCCAGCTATACCCCCCTACCTGGCACCCCCCACACTCCCCTCCCACCCCCGCCTAAATTGTAAAGTTCATTTTTTGACGTGGTATCTTGTACATCTCATTCATAATACCTGTATGTTCGTCAGAGCAGTGGCTAGTTAGCACCTGTAATGTTCTTATGTTGTCCTGTGCTCCAGAAAAATCCAGGAAAAAGTCTTTCCTTCATAGAGCTAACATCCTAGTTTGGGAGTACTAAGAGAGTATTCATACAAAGTAATGCATAAATAATCTAACTTCATATAGGAGTAGTAGATGCAGTAATGAAACTTAACTACAATTGTCAGAATAAAGACTGAAGGGCCATTTAACTGGAGTTGCCAAAGAAGGCTTTTTGAGGATGCTAAAGGTTAGCTCTAAGTAATGTGAAGGAGGAAACCACTTGCTAGGACCTGGGACAAACGTTATCCAGACCAAGGAATAGTAAGTGCAAAAGCTCTGGAGGGGTTAAGCCCATCATAGTAAAGGAACAATTGGAAAATTAATGAATAGGTGAGCTACTATTATAGGCAAAGTACATAGTTTCCTGGGAAGTCTGTCTGGTACCTTTCCCCTCATGCCATAAGACAGCAAGACCATTACTCTGACTGTAATCATTGTTTACAGCATTCTGTGTGTTCTCTTCTGCTTCTCCTAATATTTCTAGCTTCCTACCACAATCCAGTTCCAAATCTTCTGAACCTCAGCACCAGACACTCACAACCTCCTCATTTCTCAGTACCAATTTTCTGTGGTACTTTCTCTCACCAAAGGTAATGAAGTACCTGACATTAAAATAAAAAACAACTTCTTCTGCTCATAGACTCAAAGGTTTCTGTTCTGAGCCTGAGGCAAGGCAGGATATCATGATGGCAGATGGTAGTGGCAGAGGCGGCTGCTCACCTGATGGTGGCCGGGAAACAAACAGATCCAAAGAAATGAAAGGCCAGGATGAAGATATAACCCTCCAAAGCATGCCCTTCTGTGACCTACATTCTCTAATCAGGTATCATCTCCACAAACTCTACTACCTCCCAAACACCTATTCTATTTTGAATTCATGAGTGGATTAATACATTAGTAATGTCAGCATCTTCAAAATCCAGTCATTTCCCAAAGACCTCCACATCTGATTATTGCATTGGGGACCCAAGTTTTCAATATACAAGCCTTTGGGGAAGGGACTATTTCATGTCCAAGTGACAACACCTCTGCCATCTATAAAAATCCTCCATCAAAACCAAGAGTTATTATAATTTCATCTGTGAGAATCTCAGGTTAGGGGTTCTAAGGATCCCCAGGGTCCTTCAGTCTAGCCTATTGAGGATATTTCAACAAGACATAGACTTGAAATCACAGGACCCTAGAGATAGGGAGCTGAGACAAATAGATTGTGAGCTCAACAAGCAACCTTAGTAGAGAAGTGGGTTTCAGGAAAGGCTCATGGGCTGTGAGGGCATAGAATTTCACAAACATAGAAACACTTGTGTGAATCCTCAAGCTTTGAACTCCACCAGAGGGCATCAATAATCTGAAGTCCATAGACAGGGTCAAGTAGAGACTGGTAAACAATCAAGCCAAGATCAACTAGAGCCAGCTCCAGGTAGGGACAGGTTTCTAAACCTTGAGCTGGGAAAAATCCCTAGACTAGAAGTTGAATGTGGACTGGGAGAAAACTAAGGTAGGAAACATTAGGCCTGTGGCCAACACGGGTGATTGTGGGGGTGCCCCTGGAACACTTGTCCCTGAGCCACTTCCTGACTCGGTGATATACAGACTACAGATAGAGAAGATGGAGACAGACAGACAGGCCCTTCGGAGCCTGTGGCTTCACTCAGGGCCAAATCAAACACACAAGATGGCAAAAGGGTGCTGAGGCTCTCCATCAAAGTAATAAAAACCTACCACATGGGTATTTGCCTTGAGTGCCAATGCATCCATGCCAAAGCACTGAGTCCCTGGCTTTCTGTATTGAGGACAAGAGAACAAGAGACCAACTGGCAACTGGACTGTGGTTAGAAGCTAAGAATTAAGTCTCTTCTTTGGCTTCATATGCAGTCAAGAAGGAGCAGTGAGAGCAAAGTATCTTACTGAAACTAGGGTATACTTCTGGCTGCCTGTTCTTTTGGTATGTTCAAATCTCTTAGTAATATAACTTGAAATGTCAAGTGATTTCTAGTATAACTGGGAAACCGGTCAGGAGTAATTCACCAGCCTAGAATGTCAATTTCACCCTCTGTCTCCAGACTCTACTGGAAGACGTGAGGCTTAATCATAGAAATATCAAGAAAGAACTCCTGCTGAAGGAACAGAGTCCAAAATGGCAAGGTACAACTAGAAAACAAGTGTATGACTTGATTTAGGCTAACTATGCACAGACTCAACAGAAAAAGCACCTTCAGCAGCTTTGCATTCTTGATTTAATCTTTGGGGGCTCATTCAGGTTGGTAGACATTATCTGCAATTTATCAGCCTGTATATGATGTTTAAAATAAAACAAACTAAATTTAAAAAAAACCCTGTTACAGGACAAGCAAGGCTCGCTGTGGCATTTGTGCAGAGACTGGATTTGAAGAGTTCTAACTTCAAATTAAAGCCTCCCAAGCCAGGCACTGGTGGCTCATACCTGTAATATAGCTACTCAGGAGGCTGAGCTCTAAGAATCACAGTTTGAAGCCAGCCTGCCTGGGTAGGAAAGTCATTGAGACCCTTGTCTCCAATTAACCACCAAAAAAGCCTGAAGCAGGCTAGAGTGCTAGCCTTGAGCAGAAAAGCTCAGGGACTGTGCCCCGGCTTTGAGCTCAAGCTCCAGGACTAGATAGATAGATAGATAGATACATACATACATACATACATACATACATACATACGGACATACATACAGACATACATAGACAGACAGAGGCCTCTCTGCCATAAAGCCAGAAGCATCCCTTGAACTCAAAATGCCCCACATAGCTTTACCACTTACTGCCTTCTCTATGAGCTACTGTAGTGCACCTGCCTCTCACTGGAACTCAGCACTATGCTGTCTTCTCCACTGTACAGATGAGGAAACTGAAGTACATGGTACTTGGAGCAGCCCACCCAGATTCTCCAAGTGGAAAATAATGTCACCAGGTTTCAGAGCCATGTTAGCCTCAAGAGCCCCTCCCCAGTCACTTTTTTCCATCCTTTTGATGTAGTGAGTAGCAGTCTTTCAATAAATCATTGTCTGGGAAGATTACACTGGCAGGCTGTGTACGTGGGAAGCAGCCATAATAACAGCGGGGTTCTGCTTCCAAACAGCACTGTCCCCCTCCCTCAAACAACTGTTCGAATTTTCCTGTACGCTGTGGTGTGGGAAAGGTGGGTACTGAGTGATACTGGTGCTGACAGTTTAGAGGCCATCTCTTGGGTTGATCCTAGCTCAACCACTTCCCCATTGGACATTGAACAAGAGGCCTGAACCCTGCACACATAAGAAGATCATAAATGTAGCTATGGTGATTTAGAATTCCGAAGCTTTTACATTATAGAAAGATGGTAAACATACCGCATACTAGGGAATACCCCAGGTGTCTGTGGCAGTGAGAAGTAATGAAATACATTAATAACTTAGTAG